CTGTGGATGAGAACATGAATGTTTATTTTAGTTTATACATCAAACTGACCTCTGCATGGGCTTCACTTTTAAAACAAAGAGGTTTTTTTTAACACTACTTGTTTACAGTCCATACTCAATTAAACATGACGTGTGAACACCTCATCAATTAACAAAGTGGAACCTTGCCTTTCCTGTGAATGTTCTGTGTGTTACTCACAGTAGACAGAGTGGTCTCTGAGGGCGCACTGTGAGGCCTGACTGGACACGTTGACGATGGAGCCTCCGGACCCTCTGGCCTTCATACCACGAGCTACTATCTGTTCGAACAACACATTAAAACACCATCAAGGTTAAAGTCTACGTCAGGAGAAATCAGAAAACTGGTCTCCAAAATGTCCACATACTCGCGCTGATTATGTGGACATTTTGAGTTATGGGTTGAATTTTTGCTGCTGCCAGATTTCATCAAAGTTGCTGGAAGTATTTGAACATAATCTATAAATTAGCCAACAAACACTAAAAAGATAAAGAATAGAGTGCTGAGCATGAGTAGAGTGACAGAGGTGTTACTTCACCTGAGAGACGTGCAGCACAGCTTTCACATTCACATTAAACGACCTGGAGGTGAAGAGAATAAACATAACAGGTCAAAGCATCATTCAAATGTAAGCTCTGACTCAAACTGTATGTAAAGCATATTTGATGTACTTTATTCTTTTCTGGTTTGTAGTATCCTGTCATATTTCTTACTGGTCAAACTGGTCAGGTGTGACCTCCAGAAATGGCTGTAAGCCGGCATAGGCAGCGTTGTTCACCAGCAGATCGATGGGGCCGACGTCCTGCAGGGCCGCCTCCGTGGCCCCCCAGTCTGCCAGGTCCACACACACCGGGGTTACAGACGCACACTGTGAGAGGAAGAGCCAACAACACACACGTTGGTGCAGATAACAGAAAACAACAGCGAAGACATTTATTTTACAGTTATAGAAACAAAAACCATTCAAAAAGAAGTTGGAATAAGAATCGACAACTTTCTTCTCTCTTACAACTTTTCTTCTATTTAAAGGCGTGATATGTAATATATCTACTGAATCAAATCATAAAATGACCGCAGTATATCATCAGACATTAAGGATAACATGCCAGTACGTCCTCCTTCTAAGTTTCGGTTCCTGTCTGTTCTTGTTCTGACCAGAGAAGGTTGGCTCTGTTTTAAGGCACCCCACACGACCGTTTTGGACGCCCCTCGGTTTGCCAGTCAAACAGATTTGAAACTGCAAACTGATTTGATTACAGCCAGCCCTCCAGTGATAAAAGCTGTGTCCTAGCAACTATCTGCTCTTCATAGTAACGGTTTGTTCTTCCTAACAACGGTGTGCCATTGATGCGTAGTGTGTAGTTGGCCAATCAGAATCAGATATGTCATGCAGGCCTGTAATAAATATGTGAGGGTACACATCCACATATATCGTCATACACTAAACACACCGTCAGTCACGCTCTTCGCCGATAAATTCTTATATTTTTAGAATTTCTCTCAAACATCTTCTGCAAAAAGTACCGAATAGCAACTTCAATGTGTGACGACTAAACTGAAAAAAACTAACGAGCCACTTTTATAGAGGATGACATTAAAAGTGAAACTTCCTCATTTGTTTCGTCTGGTGTAGATTCAGTTCCAGCCTTACATTCACCTGGAAGTCCTCTCACAAAGTTAGCTATGCTTTGTTAGCAGTGCAAAAAGATCTGCATTGTTTTAGTTAAGCCTCGTCGGGCCCCCCTGTTGTCATAACTCCAGGCCCCATAGGGGTCCCCTGCCCCACTTTGGGAATCACTGTTATAATGGATGCTTCTGAGAACTGATCATAAATTGTGTCTTAAGTCAGTCATTGACTCGTTGGTTGTTCTAGGTAAAGAAATCTGCATGAAGAGATTGTTAATTGTGAGCGCACACACAACTAAATCACTACTAAATTAAGATCAAGAACAAACTTTAGCACCTCTCTCAACTGTACCATCATCACATTACACTTCAAAGTTTAAGTCTGTTTTTATCTCGGATTAATAAAAATTCAACTCTTGGGCTTCATCACTGGACGTGGAGAAGAAGAGCAGGCTGATTCAGAAGTACACGTCACATGATGAGTTGAGAGAACAATTGGAGAGATAAAACAGAAGAGAATATGGAGAGGTCAGAGTTGAAAGGTGGGGTGGGGTGGGGTGGGGGGTAGGTATTCTTACCTCCTGCACCAGACTGTTCAGGTCGGCCTGCGTGCGTGTGACCGCCGTGACCTTTGCCCCGCAGCGTGCCAGAGCCAGAACTGTGGCCCTGCCGATCCCTGAGACACCAAACATCCATAAACACAAAGACTCATTAGAGAGCGAGGTGCTGCTGTGACACCAAAGCTGACACACACACACACACACACACACACACACACACGCACACATTCCACACACATTCCACATGTCTGAGGCTCCGACAAACCCCGCACCGCATCAACAACAAAGCTCTTTAATCTCCACTCTCTCGCTCTCTGTCAAACAAGACTCTGAGGGAACGTGCAACGTTTCATTTTCATCACTTCAAGAGCTTCACTCACATTTATTTTTAAATCGTAATAATTGAAATGGGAGTTCTAGGAGGCCTATTTTTGGCAGGGCCCTATTCTTACATATTTTGGGGTAGCCTACAAATGACAAATGCGGACAAAAAATAATAATTTGGGGGGATTTTATGCCTCTATTTGAGAGGGAAGTGGATAGAGTCAGAAACCGGGGACAGAGAATGTGCTTTGGTGCATCTATTCCTGTGTAATCATTTGGAGATGCTGGGGGAGTGGATTGGTGCCACTCTTCCAGTGCACCCACAACCTTGCCTCCTTAGCGACAAGACACTGGTACCTATTACATAACAAATAACTAATTCAGCATTTTAAAGGTTGGATTTATCACTGCCGCAAGAATTAAACTGCGAAACTGGAAGGACCCCAGCTCTCCCACTTTGAAGGAATGGGCTGATGAAATCTCATCATATGAATACATGTTGGGAAAAATTAACTGTGGAAGAAAGATGAGAGAGATATGGGATCAGTTTTGGCAACATGTTAAATTAAGGTCACTATAGAATGGACTCATGTGGGTGTTACATGCTGCGCCTAAATGCTCTGTTAATTTAATTAAAACCTTAACTTAATTAAAACCTCCAAAAGAGTTGGGAATGGCATGTGGGAGAGGAGCCACAGGTCAGATTTGAACCCAGGCCGTCCTCTCTAGAGGACTTAAGCCTCTGTACCCGCTATCGGCTACCGGCACACCATGACACTCAACTTGTGGTTTGATTTATCTACTTTGATTCTTTTTGTTTGTATCCTCTCCCTCCAGACGTCAGGAAGCATTGCTCTACCTATATTCTGTACTTTACTGAAATGTATTTCATTGTGTGAAACTAAAGTTAAAATCTGGCTGCATTGGCCTGCGATGGCCTTTGTACCATTTCAAATGCATTTGTTTACAATTGTGTAACCTGTGTTGCAGAAGGTAGTCTAAAAGCATAACCATGCAAACTACAAACCCCATCATGCTGGATGAAGTGGAATCACAGCAAAGTTTACAGAAGGAGAAACCAATCTGCAAACACATCCACCTCTTCAGCCCTGCAGCACACACACGAAGTTGGGAACTACATGCAATATAGTCTAACTTGTAGCCTACTTTATTTGTTTTGCAGTAGCTTTCGGTTTGTTAAACTACATCTATATTTTTTTTTCTTTAAGTTGGACTTTTTCTGCTCTACACTTCATTGATGTGTCATTGTTTGCATGTTGCACTTTGTATTTCAGGGACGTCTTTACCTTTTCCTGCTCCTGTGACCAGAGCTCGTTTGCCGGCAAATGAAATCTCCATGTTCGGTCAGGTCCAAAATCAGCTGTAGAGAAATGCTAAAACAAACGAAGAAGAAAAAGACGACGATAAACTACAGGAAGAGATCAACAGAGAGGTCACATGGGAGAGTCACGTGACTAGTTCATGCTTGTCCCCTGGATCTTCTTCACTTCATATCCAAAACCAAAACTTTATAGCTTCTTTGTTTTGTTTCCTAGAAGAGTGTAACATATTCTTACCGGATGTGCTGCAGGCAGATGTGTCAGTCAGTCTGTCTGTCTGTCTGTCAGTCTGTCCGGGCTGCAAGCTGCAGGAGGCGGAACACAAAGTTCTGCTGAACTCAAAGGTTAAACTTCCACTAAAGTTGGAAAAAAAGAAGAAGCTGTTTTTGTTCCAGGTCAGTCTGCACAGTCACAGTGAGCAGACAGAAAGCACCGTGGACTGTGTGTTAAACTGTCATTTACTTTAAATAGCCCCAAAACACCAAAACGATTCAAAGGGGAGACCAGGGGTACATGTAACACTTTGAAACAGTGATCAGAGACACCAGCAACATTTAAAAACGCCTTTTTAATTTTACAGACTGATGTCTCAATGAGCATGATTTTATTTAATAAATCAATGTTGTTTTGCAATATCAATTATTTAATTTAATTACAATAATTCCTATTTTCTTTCTAGTATTATAATTAGCCTAATTTACTCAGAATAAAAAGCTTTATTGTCAGCATACCGATGTGCAACAAGACAATACAAAGCAAGTAAAAAATATCAGTAATGTGTAATCTCTGTTCTATTTCAGTGGTTCCTAACTTGTGGGTCATGGAGCCACTTTGTGACATCGGAGCAGTCATTCAGCATCTCATCTCTTGTATCATATCCACATATACGTCAGTGTTTAGCCCACAGTGAGCTCAGCATCCTGTCTAACGGGGTCTGATTGATTGTACACAGACAGCTCCCAGGAGGTTTGGTGAAACAAGTTTCTATAAATCTGTAAGACACGTCATCCCACTTTTACATGATGTCATTCTCTTTGCATGAATATAATGCTGCCAAAGTAATGTTTTGTTGACAGTGTTTCCTGTTTGAATCCCCCGTGTGGAACATGTCAACAATAAAACAGTCAAATGTTCAAGGACGCAGAAAAAGTTTATTCTTATAAAACAACAGAATAACACATCAGTGGTTGATGATTTGCAAAAAAAAACAAAAAAAAAACATGTCACTCAGTCTCCTCCACTGGCCTGCAGTGGGACAGACTCAGGGGTTTGGATTCTCGTCTGGTGTGGGACAGGGACAGAAGTTTAACTCAAATACTTTACAGACAGAAATACTGATGCTGGTGGAAACAGAATAAAAAGTTTATTAGAGCCAAAATAAGAACTATCCTCATTTTTAAACAATAAAATATATAAGAGCTTTTTTATTTTTTATGGAAGACATGAATATCCCAAAAAAAACAGAATAAAGAAAATGTTGTTTTGATGTATTCGGCTCCAACAAAGTCATCACCTCTCCACAGAGCAGCTCTGCTTTAAAAAGTCGGGTACGTAGAGCTCAAACTAAAACCTACACAAAGAAAGAAGACCTGACGACCTTTTATCATATTTACACCAGCACAGTAACAAACAGGAATCGAGCAAAGTAGTGCAAAACCAGACAGATGAGCCTGTAAAAAACAAGGTAAAAGAAGGAGAAGGTCTTCATCTCAAAATGTGAAGGCATCCGAAAAATGACAACAGACTAAAATAAACTCTCAACGGAGGATTTCTTTCAATCTCTTCTGTGATCATTTTGTAATAAATTCATCTGAATGAGAGTTCTTTTAAAGGATAGTTCAGTTTTTCTTGGAGTGGGGTTGTATAAGATACATTAAGGTTATTACCCACAGGGGATAGAGAAACCTGATGAAGTACCGGCACGGTAACAAAACTGCTCGTTTATTTTTGTTTGTATTTGTCGTCTCTTTCTTTCTTTAGATCAATTTGGGGCCTTTATTTGAGAGACAGGACAGTGGATAGAGTCAAAAAATAGGGAGAGAGAGATAGTCAGACTCGAACCCGGGCCGCCAACCTGTGAGGACTCCAGCCTTTGCACATGGAGCCCATGCACAACAGCTCGGCTACCGGCGCCCCGATGTGTTGTCTTTTTCAAAGCTGCCGACCCGAACAGCTGATCAGTGCGCTGCCAGCGGAGGAACAAAGTTGCTCTCTGAGGGTAAAGTAAAGCACAAACATTTTTCTAAAGACAGATTACACTGACTCATCAGTTTAGGGTTGGTTTTTCTTAGAATTAGCTAAATTACTCGGTAAGATTTGCCCCATCTCTATCTCCTGTGGCTAATACACTAATGTTGACATGAACTCAAACCAACCCCACTTCAAAAAACTATCCCTTTAAAAAGTTCTCCTTTTATTGTATCATGAGAAAATAACTGAACTCTTAAGTTGTAAAATGACCTTTGAAACAGTGAGAGTCATTGGTTTAAGGCTGACAGGGAAATAAAGACATCTTCACGACACACTCTTTATCAGAGTATGTTTAAGTAATACTGCTCGGGCCCTTCATTTAAGCAAAAGCAGGAAGTGGTTCTCTACTCAGTGGAAGAGGCAGGTGTTGAATTTCACAACCAGTACTCATTGAATAAAAGTTTGTGATTGTAAAGGCAGGGTCTCTAAAGGCAGCCCCCTGTGTTTGATAAGAAGAGGACAGCTTCAGACATTACATCTCCTGCCTGTGACGGCAGACGAGTCCATTTAGCTCCTCTGCAGGTTTTTGGTGTTTATAATTAGTGAATAACTCTTGTGTCTTTCAGGAACATGCCTATGCAAGCACATTTAGCTACTCAAACGGTCAAGTTAAAAATGTCCAGAATTCAGCTTGTAAAACACTCAGTCAAGGGTGAAAGAGAGAGAGAGCAGTGTCAGAATTGCACAAAAACATTGCCAACATATTTGTGCAATTTAGAAATTGGAAGGAGTTTGGTCATTTCTTGGTAAATGTGGCAAATACTGGGCGCCCGGGGCTTCTATTGCCGTTGCTGTGTTAACAAAACGGGTATCGATGTCATTTGATTTTTACTTGAATCTTATCAGAGTTTACAAATCCCCATCCAGAACAGCCTCAAAACTCTCGCTGCACATGTTGAACTCTCGGATGTCAATGTGGAGTGAACAGAAAAGCTGCAAGAATCAAAGTGTAACCGAAGAAAACAAGAAGGTTGACATGACCACTTTCTCCCAATTAAGCTCATCATGGCGAGAGACTGAACAGAATACAACACATGTAATAATACTTCATATCATCACAGAGTCTGTGACCAACACAGAGACTGTTGTGTTTCTGTGTTCTTAATGTTAATGATCAACTCTGAGTAGAAACGGTGTCATCAGCGTTCACCCCTCAAGCTGAGAAAAGTCTTTCTTTGGCTCTAATAATTATTGACATGATGCGTTTGATCCATTCGTCTCGTATCTCTAGCTCACACTTGCTCAGAGCGTCCATGAGGTGAAACTGATTTGGATAGTCTATGAGAGAGACAGAGAGGTTTTGAAGTACCGGTGCTGCAGGGTAAGAACTCAGAGGCTTTCAGTGTTTGTGGCGAGCTTTGAGCTTTGGACACCAGTCAGTGTCTGCATACAGGAGGCAGTGGACTGTCTTAAACCTGCAGGAGAGGGGGAAATGACGGTTAGGGTCATATTCAATTAAAGCACCGAAAGTGTAAACCTTCACTAAATTTGTTTAGAGAAAAAAAAAAAAATCAACAACTGATCAAACTGCGAGGTGTGTTTAAATGATGTGTCTTAGTACTTCATTGTCTCCCTTGTCTAGTGAGCACCAGAATTACAAGTCAGTAAATGGTTATTGATGTTGGCCCTCAATGCTGGTTTAATGTCTCTAAGCTGTAATACAGCCCTCCCGCCACTAGTCCGGGCTGCAGCTCCGTTTAATAGGCCTCTTCTCCCCGCTATACCGCGTGGCTGTATCGTTCGTTCCATTTGATCTCCGAAATCAGAAATTCAGGAACTTCAGGAATGCCCCTTGAAGTCAGATCTCCGCCTCGGAAGCTTGAAGCAACGTCAGTAGTCGGTGTTGAATTCCAACATGGCTGCTCCGTGCATCAACAATAAAGTTTAAGCTGTATTCGATTTTGTTTATTAACAACTGAGAACTTGCACGATACTATTGATGTGATTGATTTAATTACACAAAAACAAGACTATGTGTAGAAATGTAGTGTTACATGTTACTTTTGGACACAAACTATCCAACGGTGAATGCACGATATCCACCGTCGAGCCAACAGAAATATGATTTTTGAGACCTTTGTAGGAGGAGAATGATTCTCCTGTCTTGTTGGATATCAACAATCACCAAGGATCAGAACTAACATGTGAATATCACAGGACCATGTGAGGGTGCTGAGAAGGCTGCTAAGGCCTCGTAAA